CTCCCGGCGGCTGTCAGGGTGTATAACGATGCCCTTGGCTAGGACTTTTAGCCCTTCATTTGCTCCTCTATGGACAGCATGTTTACTCCATTGTACTTTTTGGACAATGAGTCTGTATAAACCTATGCACATTTTGCACATATTTTATTGTTTTTACAGTGACTATGATCGGCACATTTTGCACACACCTATGTATTTATTTTTATTTATCTTGTTTGTCTTTTGTTTTATAACTATTCTGATGTCTGTTTTGCTTGTCTTGGGCTGGAATGCTGTAACACATCAATTTCCCTACGGGATAAATAAAGTATTATCTATCAGCAACTAAAAAGAAGCCTGACAAAACCTAAAGCAAAGACAAAAACCAATTACAGTATTATTACTGATAATCTATTACCTGATGAGATCACAGAAATCAGTCTCACATTTACAGAGCAGCCTTCACGAATATTCCTTAGTTGAAAGCAGGGGCATGAGTAGGGTAGTGAATAATGCTATAACTGTGATTACAATGAGTTATAGGTTTTCATAGCAAAGGGAAGCACCAGGTGTTACACTTAGCTGATTCCACCTGGGAGTACCAGGCTACCTAAACTTAGCAGCTCATCTGTGCAGGTCCATTGATCATGGATTTACTAAAAGCCATCAGAGTGCGTCCACTCAAAGCATTCTGAGTGCATTAAGGAAAATGTCTTGGAAAGGATGATTGCATGGATTTATACAGAATTTAAAGACATTTTGTGAAGTTTAATGCATGATGGACTTTAAATTTATTCCGCCTGGGCTTCCTGTGTTTTTTTTAAAACATAGAACCATTTTGCTTTTTCTCTCCTTTTGTAAGAAAAGACACACTAAAGGCTAAGACATACTTACACAGTAAGAATACAAATTCTTTATGATATGCTGGAAATGAACAATGAAAGATTTAAAGATTTGTTTGTTGAAGCATTCTCAAGGCCATTGCAAATAAGTAAGATTACACCTTCTATAGATGAATAACTGGTTATTGGCAGAAGTTATATGAAGTAGGCTTTAATAAATGCACTTGGATTAAGAACCAGGTATTAGTTAAAAAAGAAAGTACACATTAGTCAAAAGCCCAAACTGGAATAAATGTAATAAGGCGTGTACCACAGGCAACTGTATTAGGACCATTATTAATTTAAGTCAGTTATCAGGTTCTGGTATAGTAAGTAAACAAGTCAAGTTCACAAACCATACCAAACCAAGAGGATAAGCAAACACTGTAGGGCCTAGAAAGGAAATTGTAAAAGATTTAAATAAAATTCAAGACAAAAGGCATAGCCGATGAGTACAAACTACAGACTGTTATGAGATGCTAGCAGAACCATAACAGATAAATATAAGATGACAACCACTTAAGATGAAGAAGCATCCCCTGGAAAAGATGTTAATTTTAACTCAACACTATCATCTTCTAGATAATTTGTAGTTACAATGCAATAAACAAACAGAACGTTAAGTTGTATAATTAACATCAAGGGTTGTCATGTTAATTTTACCCGATGTATTTCTGCCTTAACAATTGTGGTAACAATACAATTGTGGTAACTATGTTCCAAAAAATATTTTTCTGCTCTGAAGCCATTCCAAAGAATGGTGACAATATCTGGAGCTTAAAGGAATGTTCTACTCTGGCAGACTGAAAGAACTCAATGTTATGAAGCAACCCGATTCAGGTATTCAAAATACTCAAAGGCACAGAGAAATTCAACCCAGAATAATCCCAACTCCTCAGAATAAACACTGAAGTACGAGCCAGGTTACACAAGCACAAGTTAAGGCGAAGTGTCTCTTAAACTGATAACTTAGGTATTTCTTTACATAAAGGGTGGTGGGAATCTGAAAAAAAGCCGTGTTGTTGAGGCTGATACCCTGGCTTCTTCCAGGGACTGTTTGAATGCGATCCTCAGATCAATTAGCTACTAGAAACCAGATAGGCCAGATCCTGTAGGCTAGATGGGTCGAATGGCCTCCTCTCCTTTGGGCCATTTCAGTATGTTCAGTGAAGTAACAGTGATCATGCTTCTCACTTCATCTGTTTGTACAAAGCTTTCTTGTGCTGGTAGTGCACTTCAGAGTAACAACCGTGACCGAAAATCAAAAGTGTGTTTATTTTTTATGTTTGCCTCGGATGTAAAAGAGAATTACTCATTACTCAGAATAATACAGGGAACAGATTTACCAGAACACGGCTCTTCCAAATGTAGGCTTGATAGTATTTCTTCGGGCAGAGGGAAAGGGTAAGCACCGATGGGCTGAAAGTCTATCCCCAATATTACAGTTTCTTGCATTCTAAAATGCATTAATGGTTATATTAATTCATCTTTATTTTTAATGAGTTTATTAATAATTTAAGCCAACCTTTTCCATTTTAATGCCTCTCAGTACAAGTCCTCAAATAAAGTAAAAAGTCCAAATGAATTTCAGAATTCCCGATGTATTTATAGTTATATATTTATAGTTAATCTTATTATTAATGGCCTTTAAAGCACAGATTTGGCCTACAGCTTGGTTTGCTAGAGCAGATGCAGTTAATAAGTATGTTCATTTTATACACAGCTGGACTAAGGCAGATTTGTGTAAATGTGTAACTGAACACTCCTAGACAGTGTGTCTGAACAAACTCCCTCGAATTACCCAAATACATTTAAAACATACATCTTTCAGTTTTTTTTAAATGCCTTCTGTGTATAATGTATGCCAGATAGTAAAAGATAAGTACTGTATGTCTGTCTCACCTCTAGGCTAAGACATATTAGCATACTTTACCAAAAACACCCATCTGTTTAACAGGAGAGCCTGATCATCGCTTACCAATGAAGTAATTGCTTCCTGGGGGTAGTGCATCTTCAGACAGTACCAGACCATCCACAGCTTGAAGAAAAGGAATGTTTCTCCCTTCAGAAACAGAGGACTCCTTGAATCCATGCTCGCTGACTTTCCACAGGGTGGGGAATCCTGTTATATTCACTTTAATCCTAGAAATTACAGTCAATAAGAATCAAATGTACAATTCATCAAAACGATATATAGGTAAAAATATCACATGAAAAGAAAATGTAGTTATTCTGGAGGCTTAGTCTATACTGTCGTTCCCATTTTAATAATATCTTGATACCTCTTATTCTGACTATTTTTGTTCTTCATCTGTTAGCTCATTTTGGACTGCCATGATTAATCAATTACTGCAATATTTTTCTAAACCTTTTCTATTTTTTGCCATTTGAAAATGCTTCTGCTACATTTACAATAAGCCTTGTTTAATTATACTGAGCTTGTTGCCAAATGTTACGGCAATAGTTTTTATTAGCATGCAAACCAGGAACCACGCCATGTGGCTCTTTGAACTTGGAGAAGTCAAAGCATTGCAAATTTGTGTCAACACTCATTTGAGAGCACCAGAATAGCACTTCATTTGCATAAGATAGGACAAATGATTACTGATTAATTTCACGTTCATTAAATGTCAGCCAATACCAGAAAGATTTCAAAATGCTTGACAGACAACTTAGTTAAGTGAGTGGCTTCGGCAATTAGATGTTAATTGTTTCTTTTAACAATCTTTGTGTAGCATCATTTACTGAGTGAACGTGGCTTATTTTGTCTCATTTGCATTTCATTATTTCTAATTTATTTCTTAAAAATATTATCTTTAAACTTCTTTATTCCGTCATTTAATACCTATCAAATATTATACTCTGAATTGGGTAGAAGTGGCAAAAAAAGTTTAAGATGTTTTTGAAAATCAAACAGAAGAATTAAATATGTCTTTCAAATGCAGAGACTAACGTGGAATTAGGCTAGCAATTTAGATTAATATTTCTGCATAATTAATCAAATCTGATACAAGCACTAGCTGTTTTAAAGAAAAAGTTTTGGAAGAAAAACTACTGCATAAGGTATTCTAAAGAGTGCACATAGGATATCAATTAAGAACAAGAACACAAATATCAGAGCAGGTAACTATATAAAAATTGTATATTTTGTTCTTACTTCACTGATGTCTCCTCTGGTACTTCCAGAGAGAAACTCTGTGTTCCTGTAGATTCGTTCAGACTTGTATTTCCACAGACTGACTCCGGGGTTATCTGAAATATACAATCACACACTTTTGTGTCTACTCAGCCACATGGAAGATAACTTAGGCAGCAAAGCATCTTTTGCCACTGTGTGGATAGATAAAGCTGTTAATTATTTCTACAGGGGGCACATCTCTTTGCAATATTTACAACTCATTGCTGTGCCAATAAAGACTGAAGGTTGAAAAGCTCCCAGACAATTCCTTTCCTTACTAATAATCCAGAATTTGTTACATTTTTTTAGAAATGTCTCCTCGCTTATTTATTTTGAAGATCATTAAAGCCCCTTGCACAATATTCACAGTAATGTATAATACTGATACGTGCAGTTAGTTTTAATGAAGATTGATTTATCTGCAAGCAAGGCTGAAATTGTGCCAAGAGAGATAAAACGTGTCCTACTCCTCTGTGCGACAGGGGGAAATAGATGAACAGCTATCCCAGCAAAGACACATGTTATGTTTCTATAGCATATACAGAAGGCTGGCAGAAGCGTACATCGAGATTCCAGCCAAGTGCATTACAGTGTTCTGCTGTACAGATGGAAAATCACCACAAGCAGTGTGCCTCTGATCCCTTTGTGTTCCCCCTCCTCACACTACACTAAGTCTGAGTGCTCAACAAGCACGAGAAACTAATCTGCTATATTCACTTCAAGCCTACCAGCAAATCCGTTTAATTTATTCATTGAAACATTTCAGATTCTTATTACCACCAACCCCCACCCCCTCTACCCTCCCTTCCAGCAAAATATTCATTAAAGGGTTCTGTTTTCAAAACCTACAGTAGATATTTAAATCCCAATAAAGACTTGCCAAACTGAGCAAGATAGAAGCTTCTGCTCATGTGAACATCTTCACACATTTCACTCATGCATTACACATCCTTGACAAGGAGAAAGGGCATCATGCACATGTGAAAACATCTGCACCCTTTATATTCAGGTCAGTGGTGCCAGCCATCTGCCTTTACACTCAACAGCAAAGTGCTTCTTCACACACAGAAAACAATCAAGTACTGTAGGCCCTGTCTTTGTTGTCATTTTCATCATAGCTGCCATTTTCATTTGTGATAAAGTTGGACTTCTTATTAGAACCAAACCTTTTACTTCACTACATTCACTACATTGTGATGATGGCCTGAAAAAATCAATAACAATTGTTTACACTTATATTGCGCTTTTCTGGACACTCCACTCAAAGCACTTTACAGATAAAGGGGACTCAACTCCACCACCAATGTGCAGCACCCACCTGGATGATGCGAAGGCAGCCATAGTGTGCTGGTATGCTCACCACACACCAGCTATCAGTGGGGAGTGGGAATACAAAAGCTGTTGCCCATGTTGTTATGTAACTCTAATCTACAACAAAGAGAACCGGAATCTGCTGTATCCCCTTAAATAGATCCCTGCGAAGACATATTTAGTAGATCTCTGGGCTCTAAGAATCCTATACATCAGGAAGATGAGCTTTCCGTGTCTTTAAATATTCTGTAATTGTCAAAGCCCACCTGTTTGGCTTCCCAGAGTAGCTCAACTACGTTTTGGCCAGGCTGCGGTTGCCACGGTTGCAGAGTTGGAGCTGCCTGCACGGTGGTGGGCACAGTAGTGGGTGGGAGGGAGGTTGCGGGTGCCAGGCTGGGCTGCTCCGGTGAGGGAGATGGCGAGGCCTCGCTGCTAGCGACAGAGGCTGTGTGAAGCGCCTGGTCACAGAGTTCACCTTGGTAGCCCTCCTTACAGACACAGCTGTATCCCCCGCCGCCACTGCTGCTGCAGTCACCATGGAGACAAGGGCTGCTGGTGCAGGGGTCTGCGAAAAACTGCAATGAAGACAAAGCCAGATTAGATTCCAAGAAAACAGATTCGTATGATTATATATTTATATCACTGCCATACTTAGCAATTACTGGAGTCCATTTTAAGCTCTTTACAGGAGGTTGTTTGGGCAAACCTCCATCTTCATCTCATAATAACAAGAACCCTGAATATGTTACTATTCTAAGTAAGCATTGTGCTAAGTTAAAATATTTAAAGAGGTAACTGAAATAATTAAGAGATCTTTGACTCAATAACTACTTGTCTAATTTAAAAATAAAAACTTTCAAGAAGAAAATATTGGTCCAGATATTAAAGCCACCTTTCTAATTTCAAGGCTCTAGAATGTGTTCTAGAATGTCTAGAATGTGCTCTAGAGTTTTCACATTGTTTCCTTTGTTTTAAATGGAGCTCTTACTGACATTGTGTTTGTATTAAAAAAGTACCCTTTTTCAGTAGGCAAGAAATTCACTGACCCACTATGCCCCAGGCAGAAAGGGCTAGAAATTCTTAAATCTGTCTTGAGGGGGAGTGGCGTCACATGTAACAGCTCACATTTGCTTTCTGTTTTACTGGTAAAAAAGCTCCACCCATGACACCACATTAGCTGGTGTTCCCACAAGTATCCATGGAGTTCTCATTTTAAATCAAAGTTAATTTGATTACCAAGTCTTTAAAAGCAGAGCAATTAACAAAGTTATTAATCGGGTTTGCCACAGATAAGCATGGAGACAGTTCTTCGGCAAATTAACAGAGAACAGAATAATTCCCCAAGAAGCTTCAAGATCAAACGCATAGCACACCAAACATTGGGAATGAGAGAACTGGTACACTGCAGCAAAACATTGCTGCAGCCATAATAGATGACTACACCAGTGTCGTAGTCTGGGGAGCTAAAAATAATTCTCATTAAAAAAAAATTCAGCCTTCAATTGGCCATAAAGAACACTGCTCCTATGGGAGATCTTTAAATAACCTTACACAGAATACAATGCTAAAACAACAGTGACAAAGAGCACCTGATCGATATCAAAACTGCCATGAAATGGGAAAAGTAACTACGTGAAATAAAAACGGAATTAAAAAGGAAAATCCTCTAACAGCCAATAAACAAATCCACTGTACTTAGATTCTGGTTCGCCTAATTACTGGTACTCTCAAACCTAACATAACAAAAAAATAAATAAATTCTCCTGTAGTCCCTTTTGAAAGCAAAAACTTCGTTCATGCAGCACTGCGACTGCAAGGCTGTTGTGGGAGCCGAGGAGAAGTGGCTTTTCCCCCAGGTCTGGAATGAAAGCTGCAGATACAATTTCAGTAAACCTATCCAGTTGCAAAGGCAAGGTCATGATCGTGTGGTTACCATGGAGCAAGATATCATCCCTGCTTGTATAATGAATTAGTTCTCCCAATTTATTATTGATCGCAGCGAGGGGGGGGCTTAGGTTAGGAGGAAACAACAAAATAGCCCTCTGTCATTACCGTTTGTTTGTTTTCAGAGGAGAAGTCTTAGGCGTCCTAATCTACTTGATCAATGTATTAATCAGATCTGAAGCCTGTTTTGTTTGAAAAGACTTACAAAAAAAAGAAAAGGTAAATGAAGGAAGGCATATACAGTAGAGTAGTGATAACTACTTGCAAAATAAATGAATATATTATGAAACAAATAAAATAAAAAATAGATACATCTATTTAGGAGAGTATTTTAATATCTAGGATAATTATTTTCGACACAAAAATATAAAAGTGGAGGTGTGGGCCATCTACACATTTTTTGTCTCAGGTTCCACTTTTTTTTTTATTTGTGAAAAATGTGACTGATATCATAATAAAACAATAATTGTCAATGAATGTGCTCTGTACAGTTTACCTGTATGCAGTATATACATATCAGTATTGTAAAAATGCTCCAGTTTTTTCAAAAACTATGGAGACAAACACATGCATAGTGTTAGTGAGTCTCAAACAGATATTTCTGTTTTCTGTCTGTCACTGACTGCAGTGAAAACATATGATGTAATTTCTGTTTAAACCTGAATGACAGGATGAACAGATGAAGGAAATATGAAACAATATCATGCCATCTAGTATTGTACTGGCTTATCTTATAACTGGATTTGTTCATTCAACACATTATTTGTTTATTTTGCATCAAGGGCTTCAGAATCACCTGAAGGGATTCAGACACCCATTTAAATTTGCCTTGAATAAAAAATCTCTAGACGTGCAAATGTTTCTTCCTCATAATGTATATACAGTATACATATACCAAGAAATTTTAGGTCACTAAGTCCACCTCAAACAGTTAACATCATGGCCATATCCAGCACTGATCTAAACATTCTTTCACTTGTTAAAATGAAGAAAAAAATCATTCTGTTTAAACTATCAATTTGCTAATTTGCAAGAATTTTCACTAACATCCAGGCATCAATACCAATCGCAATGAACAAGAATTCCATTAAGCAACTGACATCATCAATTTCAAGTTTTGAAGACGCTGTAGGGAGACTTTGGCCTCTTTCCACTCAGATACATTTACTAATCTTGTTTCATCCACTGCATGGAACAATTCAGTCGGCTAGAAGAAAATTAACGGTCAAACTCAGGGGAATGTTTTCCCTCCACGTAGCAGAATTCAGACTGAACTTATGATCAGGCGGAATCTGTAACATGAATTCAAGAGAGAGATGTCATCGTTAAATTAATGACATATGCCAGCGCATGTCTTGCCTTTTGATTTTCCTTCTCTCTGAGAAACCCCTTTACACAGTATGAGATGTCTAGATGTCTAGAGAAATGGTTTTCAGCCCTGGCCTTTAAGAACAACTGGTTTTCACTCCAGCTGAGCTTGTTAATTACTCAGGTCAATTGATCTCTACTTGCTTTTCAAGGATCTTTTTCTTTTTATTAAAAAATAAAAGGGTTTCAGCTCTTAACTGAGTGCGGTTTGTAATTAGCTTCAGTGCCGCACTCATCTCTGGTTTTCAGAACTGTGGAATGTGAGCTGAATGGAATTGGATATGCAATGCCATCCTTACCGATGCCTACAAATCACTTACTGGCCATCCTTTAAGAACTGTGTAGAAATAAATGAGTGGGCTAACATCTAATAAGTAAGTTGAGGAGAAACTGAATGCACACTGAGCAGGGACATTTTTTAAACCAAAAGTGCAAAAAAAGGGTTATGAACTTTTAATCAAAGGGGGAAATTAGTCTACGTAATTAACCTTTCAACTTGGAAAAAAACATTGAGAGCCAACTTAAGCCAAATGTGTGAAAGCCACCCTGGACTTTTATTAGCAAGAACTAGAAGCATCCTATTAATCCGTAGCTTTTTAACATGAAATAGAAAATGGAAGCAAGCTTCTTGGGCAGCAAAATGGACAATCTTAGAAATGTCATTCTTGAATCACCCTTCTGTGTGCACAGTAATGTTAGGATATTATTCTTCTAAAAACTAAGCTAAATGTGTATCCTCATTAATATGCACTAACCAGTTTTAATATCACTTAATGATCTGAAGCTAGTGAAGCCATACTAATGTAGTCTCTATGACTGCTTGTAATTAACATAAGGCCATCTGGAAAATTAACAAAACAATAAATGTTGACAAGAAGTGAATAGTCTTTCCACAGACTGTGTCAAAACTACAACAGGGGCCTGAGGAAGATGGAAGGTTGGGAAAATGTTTAAAAATTAAATTAATTTCATATCACGCAGCACAGTATCTTGGATTAATGCAGCAAACTTTGCCAAAAGTGAGTGTCCAGTCATGTTGGAAAGAGCAGAGAACGTGATGGAGACTGAAGTTGCAGTTGAGCAATCAGTAAGCTGTTCTTGCCTCCTTAATGCTTCCTCTAAAGATTTAGATTTAATCTGGATGGTGCAGCACTTCAGCTCTGAGTCAATTGATCTAATTACTGGACCAATTTAACACCTTTCCCAAATTCTGTAGGTGCTGAAGATATAAAGTGTCATGCAAGACTCACAGGGTTGAATTTCTCTAGGACTAGAACTGTGTTAATCTGCTCCAGACCAAGCAGAGTGGAGAAAATCCCTAGTAATACTCCTTTCCTGATGATGTTCAAACATTGATAAAAGGGCCATCTAATCCCTTAACACCCAGGAAACTTTGAGAGAGCACTGAATTTTAACAAACTGATAACACATTATCTGCATAAGAAAATGAAATCTACTTGTCAATTGTACATTACACCTTACTAAAATTAATGCTGTTTCAATAATTTGTAAGTTTATAAAGTCAGCAGTATAAAATTTGTACTGCTGTTCCTGTACCATTTGTAATGTTGTTCCATGCTCTTAGGGCATCACAATTCTACCTTATAGCACCAGTCTTACCTGATTCTACAATACTCTTGTAAACATCTTTCAGTAATAGACTAATTTATTTTTGGATCCTCTCCATTGATTTACAGATTTAAACTTTTCACTCCTCACTCCCAGATCTCCCTTCATTTGGAATCTCTCTTACCAGTGTGCTCATACCTGCTCTAACCTTTGTTCTCCTGTGCTTTATATATCGCTGCCACCTCTCTCCCCCATGCCCGAAGAAGGCTTCACGTCTGATACATTGTATTTCTTCTTTCTTCTTTGCAGCATGAAATTAACCTTTGCTTGCTCCTTTCAAGTACATTTAAGTCAAGCAGGACTAATCTGAAATCTGCATAAAGGCCTTGCAGCTAGAAGTCACTTGATGCATCTTGTTCTGAGTATTTACTGACCCACTGATGCATGCCTTCTTCAAAATGTAATTTCCAAGTGGTAGCTAATTAAATGTAATCAGGATGTAGAATTATGAAGTCCTATTTATTGTTACGAGAACAGATAACAGAGAGAAATCTCTTCAAATTATTTGTAGTGAAAGGGAGTAATGCCCTCCGAAATTTGAATGATCTACAAAGCATTTATTTAAACATGCAATGTACCTCAACTTCAAATGATAGACCGCCTGACTACACAATAAAGCTTTGTGCATTTGGCA